GGCCTGCGCGGTGCCCAGACCTCCCTGGCGCCAGCCTCTCTAAAAGCCCAGCGGACGCCGCGGGCGCTCGGTCCCGTCCTCGGTGCCGCCGGCCCGGGTAAGCGCGCGGCGCGCGTCTTCCCGACCTGGTTTCGAGGAATCGGGAGGGGAGCGGGGAGTGGGGAGCCAACAGCTCGCGGGCCGGCGGCCAGGCTCCAGCAGCAGGGACTCGGAGCCCAGGCGCCCCGCCCGCCCGAAGGACGTCTGCGGGACACCGATTGCAGACCCCGGGGACCACCAAGAGCTGCCCTGGCACTTTCCTGCCAAGAGGAATCAGGCCCTTTTGATTAAAACAAACAAAACCAAAACAGGTTCCAGGGCGCAAGGGTGTCGCAGGACAGCCTCTTCCCCCGGTCTGGAGTAACACTCCCTTTTTTATGAATTGGCCGCGTGTGTACATTAATATTTTAATTAATCGGGAAAATCGAAGTCCGATTTACATTGTCTGGGGACCCCCACGCCGCTTGGAAGGGGTGAGGGGGGGAAAAAAGACGTGTTGGAAAGCAATCTATTTTGCTGGTGTTGGGGGTTAATGACTATTGCCAAAGATAAGTGAATTATCAAAGCTGTTGCGCCGGTCCCATCTCAAAATCCATTACGGTGCCGGTCGTCTAATTAAATACGTAAGTATAATAAAATCATATTTTATGACTATTTGAGGGTAATGAGATTAGTCTTTAGAAGCGATCGCCACATATTAAAGATGCCACTGTCTATAGAATGTTAATAACCTTAAATCAAAGTGTATGGAAACTATTCACGATAAATTAAAAGAAAATTTCTGTATTCCTAATCAGCCCCGAGCTTTCCACCCACAGCAGCCCGGGTGTAGCAGGGAACACTGTCTTCCTGGAGAGACAACAGGGCATAAAGTTGGCCATCGGGGGAGGGTGGGGTTGAGAAGTGGCTTTGTCTCCGTGTGCTGAGCTGCTGGGGGCTCCCGCAAGGCGGCTGACGGGCCAGGCCGGCGTTATTGTCAGGCTCTGCAAAATGCCTTTTTGGGGAAAGATGAAGTTGGAAATAGGAAACAATACTTCCTTTGTCGCACACTTCCTAAAATGCCCAGCCCCGACTGGAGGTGCCCCCTTCCTCGCACTAACGAAAAGTATCATGCTTAAAATCATTTACAGTATCTTTAATTCAGATTACACGCGCCAAGGCGATTTAAATCTGATTACCAAATTAGAAGGTTTAAAAACAAATCCTTCTAAATCTGATACTGTTGACTAAAGAGGGAGGGGAAAAAAAAGTTCCATAAGCCCATCGCATAAGGTAACGATCCTGCCCCAGAAAGAAAAGGGGTTTTAAACCTTTTTGACAACAAATGCAGCTGCCCCACTGTTTTGGACGATATTAAGCGAAAATGAATGCAAATCTGTGTTCAGCAGCCATCTGGCCCGAAATGGGGGAATCAGCTGCTCTCACAACAGGCTCAGAGGCTGAATCCATTTCAGCTCATTTTCTAGATCATCTGGTCCCGCACCCAAAGCGTGGAAAATACGGTCTTTATCATTCACCAACTTTATCTTTTTTGTCACTCCACTGCTGGCTCCGCGCTGTGAGCACAAGGACTGGCCGCCTGGGCAGGGTCTGCAGGGGCCTGCTGTAAAGCGGCCTGGGAGGGCGGCCTCCTGGGCCCCCACCTGACCCTGCCCCGGATTTTCGCTTTGGTAGGTGCGAGCAGCTTTGGAGAGGTGCAAGGGACCCAGCACCCAGGCCCCTAAGCGGGGGGAGGGGCTGCAGGTCAATTCCTAGAAGTCTTGAGGGAGACTGGAGCGCCCCTGAGCCCAGCCCCAGCCTGCGGGAGCCCTACCCCGTCCCCTCTCCCTCTCCAGGGAACTAAGGGGCACCAAGTACCCAGGTAGGGGAAGCCAAGGGAAGGGCAGGCTGACACTCTGGAAGTTGCGCAGGTCCTCCGAGGCTGCTGGTCCAGCCTCCGCTCCCAGAGCGCTCCCCGGGGCCCCTTGGGTGGGGCCTGACCTTCACTGGGAACCCCCGGGCCCTGGCGACTATGGCTGGAGGCCCGGCTCAACGTGATTTGCACTGGTGGCCCTCACGCCTCCTCCTCCTCCTCCTCCTCGGAGGGTGGGAAGTATTCCTTTTGTGCGGATTTACAGGGAGAGGCTTCAATGAGCCCCCTCACATTTGCATTTAAATAGCGGCATCCAGCGCTTCGCGTGCCACACACCAGTGGGCTCCCAGATGTCACGCCGGAGTCAGTCAGATGGCCAGTGCCCAGCTGTCCTCCCCACATCATGCGGGAGCAGGCAGTGACCTCAGAGAGACGGCGCCTGCCGGCCATGGAGTCCTGCTCGGGGAGCAGCATGCAGGGCGCGGAGCCCTGGCAGCGCCCGGCCACTTCTCAGGGCACCCGCCAAGGCCGGGCTGGTCGGTACAACCCTGCGGCGCCCGCACTTCGGCTCAGCCCGGCCTCCCTGCTAGTCCTCCCCCGCTGCCAGGCTCACCAAGCCCCTCCACCCGCGCCCAATTCCCATCCTAGGGCGGGGGCTGTTCCGCCCCTGCCAGGCATGGACTGCCCCATCGCACCTCCTCGGTCCCGGGTCCAACACAGCTGAGTGGTGCTGGGCCTGGAGAGCGGGAGCCCGGCTGGTTCCAGCCTCTGAGCCCCCCAGAAATTTCAGCCAACTCGGGCTCCTGGGGCGCAGGGCCAGGCACGGAGCCCACCCAGCATCCAAGGCACTCCTGGGTGCCTTCCTGCTCACAGCAGAGCCCAGGGAGCCTGCGAGTGTCCTACCAGCCTTCCAAAGTGTGATAAAGTGCATTTCCGGCGAGGAGAAGCCCGGGCGGGGGGTGCGCAGACGCGGACAGGCGCGGGGCCCTCCAAGGGCCGGTGGCTTCAGGCCCAGGCTGCGCGGCCAGGCCACTGGGAGTGCTGGGAACCGGCGCGAGCAAATGCGCCTAAGGCCGGCGGTTCGCGCTCTCCCGGCCAGTGCGGAGCTGCAGGCGCGGCCCGCCCCCACGTCCTCCGCGCCGGGGGTCACGCTCATACCGCGCGGCTGCCGGCCTCCAGCCTGGCTCCCGCCTGGGGTCCGGGCCTGCGCCAAGCACAGGCGGAGGCCAGAGGAAGAACCCCAAACCCTTAGCCAGACTGACC